GCATTCACTTCGCGGAAGAGAGTGAGGAATGCCATATTTTATTTACTTCTTTGGTTGGAAGAGGAAGATGCGAGCTGTCACGTCTGCGAGATTTGCGTTGCTGTTCTTTACGGTCACTTTGATCTCTGCGCGAGTTTTAATCCTGGGTTCAGAAAGCAGATAGCGGTGATCGCAAAACGTCCGCGGAAAGGGACCGGCTCAAGCAAGCATATATTGTAGTGATCCTCAGCTGTTGATTTCAGGAGTTATAGATTGACAAGAGCGAGGGGGAGGGAGGTGAAGGTGGAGACTGGTAGGAAGAATTCGTAAGGAGCAGGAAAAAGGAGAGAGGGGAAGAGTTGTGGGAAGATATAAAAAAAACGCAATGGGGAATGGGAGTCAAATCTGGAGCAAATCAACAAAAGGGGATGAACTCTTCCTATAAACTGTCATCAATCCTTGCGAAATATCCTCTAGAAATGCACCCTTTAGTGAAGGCGTTTCTAGGCCGGTTCACGTAACTGTAGATTGTATATGTACATGTTTGTGTAACTGACAGACACATCGTTTTCTATTTATTGTGGATACTGATCGCCAGGGAATATGGCAATGCTTTAATGAAAAGATGTAGGATGATGAGTTTTAGTATTTAGTGTTTGGACAAAAGTTGCCTGTCTGTACAGCACACTATGCGTGCTGTTTATCTCTACATCTTCTACATACATCATGTAATTAATAATTCTCCACAACACATTTTGTAACATTAAGCTACATAATCTAGCATAATAAATTGCTACAGTTTCCCGAATTATATATAAGAAATATAGTTAATTATTGACGTAAAAAATAATGATTGTAAAAAAAAAACATATATGATCGAGCGTAGATTCCTTTTTTTGGTCACGTCAGTTTTGAACAGGTGGAATTTTTATAGGACGTCAATTAGTTGTAAAAGTCAGGGTCATTCGCATGCGGAGAGGGGTGGTGATCTTCTTGGCCAAGAACTTGTGCTTGAGTTGGGGGAGACTTGGTGAGTGGGGCCAAGCTGTTGCGTGGGAGAGGTGAGTGTGGAGATAAATGCTCCCTCCCCACTGACACGGCTCCGCATGCTGTGGTTAGGTGATGTGTGTGCCGTGCCACGCCGTTACGGTTCGACCTGTGAAACTTTTTTTAACAAAGACAAAGATCCCCCGTATAGCCTACACACAGGCTGTTGAGGCAAGGGCTGTTAGTGAGCACGTGTGAAGCCCGGCACAGCACACGAAAGGGGGTGTCTGGCCAACGCAATGAAACGGCCTCATTTGTCTCCCCCATTGCTGATGTTTACACACCGCACGAGGTATTCATTTAAGGATGAGTCAACCTAGGGGATGCCCAGGGCCGGTCCAGATGTTCGCCACTGTTATTGGTCGTGTGCGTGAATCGAACTTGGGTTGCTGGGTTGGTAACGCAGTGTGCTAACCACGGCACTGCCGCTCCCACTCACGGACACGCATCGCTCTCCCGCGTGTGTTTGGGCTGTACCGCGTGTTGTTAGGAATGGTGTCCGACGTTTGGCTCCACGTGCTGGAAAGGGAACTTTCAGACGTCGTGCCAGACAACACGAAGCACAACCTTAAAACACATCGGAGAAAGCTGTACAGCTCAACAGCAAAAACCTACGCACGTATACACATGCACACACCTCCCCAATTTCACAACGAATCACATATATGCTTGGGAGGTTGTGACTTGTAAACGAAGGCAAATTTCAGAGTTTTATCAAGAAAGCCTGGTAAAAAAAAAACCCCCAAAACAATTATAGTCAGTTCCAAAACAAATTTAATGAGCCGTACTATTACGAACGATATAATGATGGAATAAAAAAAAAACGTGACTGCATGACCTCAGTTGCTTTGGAAACATTTTCGGTAAATATTTTCTAGGCGCAATGCAGAAAAACTCTTCAGCAATCGATGGCGACGCCGTGTTTTCTTTAAGCGGGATAACGGCGGGCAGGCGGGCTGGCGGGCTTGGCGGGCAGGCAGGGCGGGCAGTCGGGAGCTGCCCTCTCCCACGGGGCTGGCTGCAAGATAAGGCCACCTTATGGCGGCGGTGGCCACTGGGAGCCCGGAAAGATGACCTCAGCCTCAGGAATGGCTGAGCGAGAGCGGATGCCCGAGCCCTGGGCGTTGTGTGCGTGGCACTGATAAGGGTGGCGCCTGAAGAGAGGCTCGCGGAATTCGGCACACCTCGTTTGTTTAAATCGCTATCGGCTTGTCGTCTGGCTGTGGTTTGCATTATCACGGCGGCGAGGCGAAGCCAGGCTATGAGGATAGCGCCCCCGACCCGCTGCCCTGAAGAGCCGAAGGGCACTGACCCTTCTTTTTAACGAAGTGAACTTGGCTCTGCCATGCCGTTGTCACGAAGTGGCAATTTATAGGTCAAGTTTTAACACAAACGTGCTGGGCCTTGCGCGTACAAGGGAAAGATTTTACGCGGAGGTTTTCGTCGTGCGTTTATTTTTAGTGCTAATTCAAACTCAATTTGTGTTACACTTAAGCAAGAAGCACAGCAGCCACTCATTGGCACCTCCGATTAGCACGGTTATCTACGCACAGCGCGAAAGAAGTTCAACATACATACAGTCCATTGAAAAGCACGATAACATAGATTTGTCAAATCTGTTCTGCTTGATGTGTTTTTCGGGGTTGTACAGCATGTCGGTGGGCACGACGACCGACGTTTCGCCCCGCGTGATGGGGGCTTCTCCGGGAACTGTGTTTGAATTCAGCTCTGATTTGATTTGAATTCAGTTTCCGAAGGAACTCCCGGCACACGGAGGCTTACACGCGGAACGCCGTGCCGAAATGACGCGCGGTGCAACCCGGTGACACACGCGAGAGAAGATGTGTTTGGTAAACCTGCTCGGAGTTATTACGTTTATCGTTTAGAAATTGCCGTAGTTCTTGCTTGAATAAATAAATATAGTTTGAATGAATACAAAAGCACTTTTGTGGTTTTGTCCATACAATATTTCTGTTTTTGTTAATGCTAAAAGGATAGGTAGTTGTCTAAAAACGTCATTTATTTTTCATGAAAACTTTTTCTTCTTTAACCTCGGCGATTAACGCGGTTCGAGAGCAGAAATGTTCGTCTGGGTTGATAATTATTTGAAAGTCGCGCAGTATGCGCACATTGAAATTTACAGGAATGGGGAGTATTTTTTTTGTAAACTACCAAGTTTTTTTTTTCTTCAATAAATTATAGGGATTGAGTATAATTATTGACTAAGACCGCAATCGTCGAGCATCCATTCGGCGAAACAAACCCTGGCGTCGTGCATCAAAACCGTTGGCCAGAACGTTATCGGGAAATGTTATTAAGCAACAAAACATGTTTATGTTTTAAAGTTAACGGTTTAACTGTGAATATTTTGGAAATCGGCCTGTTTCCAAAATATGTTGAAGTGTTTGCGTTTACAATATTCATCGGGGATGCGGGGGGGTGAAGAAAGCCGTATGCTTGTAAAGGGTCAGGACAAGTTAAAGTGTACAGTGTAAACAAGACGGTAGAATGCCGGACACCTCTTGTGCGTGTGAGTGAAATAACTTTGGCTCGCTTCTACCGTAAACGTTTGCCAAACTGCACCGGGCTGAACATGCCGAGTAGTACTTCATGCTGACTCCGTGCGTGCCTGCACATGGGGCGCAGTGCGACCCCCACGTCGAGCCTGTGTTTCCAAGGTCTTCACCCAACCGTATGATACGCGATGTAACGATACCCACTCTCCTACGAGGCGATGTGGGAGATCAATACCTCGGATCCTGTTATCCTGCGGTGTTATTCTTTTCGTTTATCGATGTGGACAAAAAAATCACAGAGGATCGCTGAAAATGCGATTTTTTGTTTTAACGACCCTGCAGCTTTTGTGGATAATCGGAGTCGCTGATAATAGCGATGTGGATAAGGCCTTCTGGTTAATGGCAATGGTGACCGGGATAAATCAGAAACACGGAGAATGCAAAATATGGCAATTCGGCTGTACAAATGTACTTATTGTTTATACTCTTTGGTTCTTTCGGTAAAGTCACGTAGGTAGAAATTAAACAAAATAAATCGCGACGTTTCGGGCGCAACACAAGCGTTCGTCTTCAGGTGAAAATCGCGAGAGCCGCGATGTCTGCTGCCTCACAAGGCACAGACTCCGATTATCCACAAGGCAGCAGACATCGTGCTGCTCACAGCAGACATCGCGGCTAACGCGGTTTTCACCTGAAGACGGGCGCTTGTGTTGCGTCCGAAACGTCGTGATTTATTTTGTTTTATTTATACCTACGTGACTTTACCGAAAGAACCAAAGAGTATGGATTCTTGCAGTCACGAAAGCTTCAAATACTTATTGTTTATTGATGTAGAATTAGGAGGGGGCAGTGAAGGGGAGGGCCTGGAAGACATATAGTTTGCGATCTGCTATTGCTTCTTGAAGTAATCGGCTCGTTTGCCGGCGCATTTGCGGTCACGTGGGTGGCACTGAGTCACTGAGGCTCGATGAATGAGGAGCAGCTAATACATAAACCGCAAGGAAATAATTTATTAAATTTTTCACAAGCACGGTTAATCCGCAATTCAAGACGCACCGCTTATGGATAATCACGAGTTAACCGTATAGTTTTAAACGTTACATATGATTTTCACGCAGCAGTGGATAGAGCGCGGTGAAAATGTTAAAGCGCGTGGAGAGATGCGCGCGCTCGGAACGCGTGCAGAACGAACGTGCGCCGTTTGCGAGAGTTGATGAGCGCGGAGTGTATCGCGTGCGCGTGTTTGCGTGGACGTATGTGTGCGTGTTTGCGTGGATATCGCGTGTTGCGTGTGCATCTTTGCATGGGTGTCGCGTGTTTGCGTGTTTGTCACGTGTGTGTATTTTCGTGGATGTCGCGTGTTGCATGTGCATCTTTGCGTGGGCATGTGTCGCGTGTTTGCGTGTTTGTCACGTGTGTGTGTGTTTTCGTGAACGCGTGTGATCGTTACCTGTGCAGGCAAGAACGAGAGCCCAGTGTTTGCCCTCCCACTCCTGCTGCGGGAGTCCCAAGAGCTGGAGGAGTTGTTCCTGCAGAGCTTTTCCTGGGAGACGCACTGTCATGCATGCTTAAAGGAATCAAGGCACCAGTAAGAATATTCGCTGACTATGCCAAGTTCTTTGAATGATAATAAAACACTTTGCACTTTTTTGCAACATGTTTTTCACGCATTTTCAATATTTCCAATATGCATTTCCAATATGTTTACGAGTGTGTGTGTGTGTGTATGTCTGATAGGTGCTTGCTAACAGCACTTGTCTCTGCAGTTTAAGATTATATGCGGGATCATGGGCTTGTTTAAAAATATATTATTGCATTTACATGTGGTCAAAATCCAGGTTACATTGCAAATTGTGTTTCTGTATGTGCAAAAAAAACAGCCAGGGCTTTGTCAATTCACTGCTGGATGAAGGCTTCCCCACATTGTGTGTTTCATAGGAGGGATTGTTGGACCATATTTCACCGCACTTGTCAGCGCAGGCTGATGAAGTGGGATGTGGCACCTGGCCAGAGCCATCCTTTAGGGTAACGAAGAATCGTGGGTGAGCGTCCCGGGCCCCGCGCTTATGGGGGCTCCACGCCTTGGGGGCTCCACGCCTTGGGGGGCTCCACGCCTCGACGTCACGGTGTCAGATGCAATAATCCCGGTTTAGTTTGAAGGTATCGGGGTGGGTGGGGGGCATCGCATACAGAGTTGAGTTGCCCCGGCCCCCCCCCTCCACCATGGACGGCCTTGGAGCCAGCACCGGTTCAGATATCGCTCGTCACCATTGTTAGCCGTGACCGGTAGTCGAACTCAAGTTGCCAGGTTCATAGTGGACTGCACTGACTGATGTGCCACCGCTCCGCAGCACGTGTATACATGTGCCTTAAATTATTATTGTATTTTCATGCCCTATAATGTATTTGTATTTTGTCAGTAAACTGAGTTGACGAGTGATGGCCAGCTAAGTTTGGCTCACACTCGCCCACGGTCGGGTTTAAGTGTTCAGCACATGTTTAATTTATAAAATTCTAAATATAACGCAGATGCTTGAAATTGTTGACGATTTCATCAAACAATAACAATTTCCATTCGGGTTCATTTTACAATTTTTTGTTCAAACAGAAGAACATTCGGTTTTTAATGTAACGTTACAAGTATAATTATAACACGGATGTATCATTATAACAAGTATACAGTGATGCATATTTGAACTTCTCCAAAATTCTGATTACGTTTGAACGAATTCTTCCATTTAGAAATATCCTATGATTTACAGCTATGGTTTGGATTAAAATCTATTCGTAGATTTAAAACAATATATCCAGACCCAGCTTGAAGAACTGGCCTTTGATGTGCCTTTTTTTGGGTCACATTTTCATGACTTTCAGAAATGCTTGTGATATTACAAAAAGTGAACGGTACTGGAACAGTGGTTCCTGCAAGGGGTAGCTCGATACCAAAATGAGATTTCATCAAAGACCCCTGCAAACATGTGGAGGATAGTAAGCCCTCGTGTTATAGCCACGGTGGTAACTCACGTTTGAACCGCTTGCCGCCGGGTGTCTAGAAAGTCAAGGAATGCTACTTTATTTTCGGTGTTCTCTCCAGTGAGAAGCACATCGGAGTATTCCAATATTTTTTTCTCGAACACGTCCCCAATTGTATCCCGTTTCGCGCTATCGGCATCATGTCACGAACGGCAGTGTCCGTTCGGAACTCGCACAGAGCAGTGCAACCCTTGGTGTCGGAGAAGGGTGCCCACGGAAGCGGATATGACAGAGCTACCTCTGAGATCCCTTTAAGTGACCTGTTCCACGCAGTCGATGACAGCGCTCTCCCACTCGCTCGGCATCTGAGACTAACACGTTAAATGATGCTGATATGTGGATTCAGTTCCGCTTATATATGCTCTTATTATGCTTAAACGCACAGTCATCCAGAGTAACGCATAATTAGTGTGTATACAATCGTTCTTTTTTGTATTTAACGGTGGAGCATGTTTGTAAATAACATGTACAGCATTGGTTTTAACAAGCCTGACTGGCTGATGAGACCTCGAAATTCGAAACTGCTCCAGAGTTTGATTGCTTAAACAATTCTGCTGGATCATATTTGTCTGAAAAGGCTGACGGACTAAAACATATATGTTTTTGAATCTATATTTGGAGATGGAGAATTCAGTTTTGCTTGTATTTGCCTTTAACCAATGCAATGTATTTCAAACCTTCGTTTATGAGTTGTTTTATGCACATACATTTTTCCCTTTTGTCGCGTTCAAAACAGTCTGTATTTCGTGTGGTGTCTTACAAAGTACACCATGTTACCTTAGTGATTATGGACAGAAAGTACATCCATTGCTTTGGCAATGCCTGAATGTTTTCAAATTACGACACACATAACTGCAGCTAAGCTAATACGGATTATAATAGGAATACAAGGTGCGAAAGTTTATTTTTTATATATGCATTTCTCCCTTGCAAAATACACCTTCTTGTCGTCTCTAGAATGGATTCTTGTTTTTTTGTTGCAATTTTATTTTTTTACAAATGGGAAAAAACGGTCCAATTGAAGGATTTTTTTTGTGTTTTACAATATCCTCCATGGAAATTGAATGGAGCCACAGGAAGGGAGATCTCACTTGAGTTTCACAGCTTTGTTTTATTAAATTCCTGATTTATTCAATGTGATGTGTGTAACAAACCCAATACAGTGTTGGGGGGGGGGGGGGGTTGGTGGGGGGGGGAGACTTGAGAAGGCAGTTAAGACGATCGCAGCTTGAATATCGTCAATGTTCCATACAGCCTATGCCACCTATTGGTGGAACGCATCTTTACACGGCATGTCATTGCATAATAGCTGCTAAGGTAGTGTAATGCCCTTAATTGTAATGGCTCTACAGTGCAATTTTTGTTATTTTCAAACGTTATTTTATTTTAGGCGACGACCGCGCCACGGCTCAGCTCCGAGTTCAGTTCCCGACCGTGGTTTGCATCGGTGGCGAGTGATTTCTGATCTGGTTCTAGCCACCACGCTACCTTGCACTGACCAGCACTGACCAAAGTGGTGAAGTTTGGTCAACCTTCCTCCGCCCCGATATCATTCGCCAAAGGACTGCAGAGTATTATTTTAATGTGGTGTGTACGTTAACGTGTGGACGGTCTGTGGTAAAAAATAAAAAATACAGCTCTTGAATATGTAGAAATAGATTAGATAGCAAACCACTCGGTTTTGTTGATGTGGTGACGTTGATTGCATTTTAAAAGACCCTACGAATTGTGTAAATGAATTGTCCTCTTCATTCTAATACAAAACACCGTAGTCATTCCATTGGTCCACCAATGGCACATTCAGTTCCAGAAGGAGGTATTTTTGTAAGTGTATGTGTAAGCTTGTATTGCACGGCGTGTTTTCGAGTCTTCAGTGCTTTTAATCCCTTAAGTTGGGGCTCTCGCTCTTATCAAGCGCAGTACATTACCGTAGTTTTTCTCTTTTTATACAAAGTGAGTTGCTGAGCTTTATAGAAGCCTCTTAAAATTATATAAGACACTGATTTGTAGCTCCGCACCCAATTTCCATGGCAAATATTTTGTAGCTTTGAAAATATTTACATTATTGTGATTGCAAGCTCGTGCCAATTCAATATTTACACTACAATGGTTTATAGCTTAGCAATATGCCAGCTCGGAGAAGATCTGTATTTATACACTGATCGAGACGAGTGTTTCCCTGCAGCCCCCCCCCCCCCCCCAGTTTTATATAATCATGGTTCGTAGATCGAGGGCTATGTTAGCCTAATGACAAGTGCCAGGCCGTGATGCACGCATGCTGTTCCTGCATTTTCGTTAATTCTTCACATTAACTGAAGTTGAAACTTGAAATCATTTAGACATTAGCTCTGTCTTGCCAGTCTATGTGTACGTAACGTGTGATCACAATAGCTCTCTTACATATGACCCAGTGCCAATAAAAAAATCCGTACAAAGTTGAATTGCTCTTAGGGACTTAGCCTTAGAGAAAATCGGACAAATTGATAATATTTTTTACTGATGGGTTGCCCAGTAAAAAAGAATGCCTTTTTGGTCAAGGCGATGGTGTCACGCGCCATGCACGGACATCTCCTACCACCCTCTCCCCATGACATCATTGCACGTGACGTCATCTTGTTGTGTGTCTCGGAACATAACATCATCACTTAACACATCTGGGGACAAAAACATGCTGGCAAGTGGTTACAGATTCCACGCACGTGGGATGATTTTTATTCCTTGGTTGCGACGCAGGGATTCCAGCTGCTTGGTCACCTTTCCCAGTGTCGTGTCAGACTGGCACCCGCTCAACACCACACACCTGGGCACCTGCAGCCACTGCCAGGCCAAAGGGCAGCGGCGACGTCTGCATTGGCACAGGTAGAAAGAAGTGAGGTCTTCCTACGCTGAATCCGCTTTAAAAAATGGTCATTGCCTGACGTGTGAGCCTTTTGGGTTTTTCTCTGATTTTGTTGTCAGCCTAGAACTTCCTACTGCTGGTCAAAGGCTTCCTCAGTTTTCTTCGATTCCTTCCCTTCCTGAGTTGTTCCTGCCCAGCAGTGGCCTTCAATTTCTTTGACGTCCCCTGACTGCTGCCGTCTCTTCCGCTGTCTTCCTCTGCTCCCTCTGCCTCCTCTCGCCTTGTCTCACCGGACATTTTGTTCATCATCTCTTGTCAGTTCTTGCGACGTGCCCTTGCTGTTTGCACTTGAAATGATGTTGCTTTGACAACGGCGTCGTCGGTGACCCCCTGTTTGCTGTTTCCTTGTTTATTAACTCGTCTCTTCAATTTAACTAAAATGCTTAATCCCACGTAAACATGAAACAATGTGGACCTTATTGTTTTGTTGTTATGAGGCCGAAAGTGTTGAGTTTTATTTGTTTGTGCCGGTGGACCACTCTAATTTTGTGAAAGTAGAGGCCATCGGAAGCCAAAAGATTTATAGCTCATCGGATTCCTCCAGTATGAATAAATATTCTGATTCTGATAGGGGAACATGAAAGCTCCCACATAATTTCTTCTACATTGCACAATTGAATTTGCAGTGTACGATAAAAAAATTATTTCACAAAAGATCATGACCAGTGAAGAGTTTGTATTATGTTGAACTTTTTTCGCACCATACGTAACCAACCGTGCTAATCGGAGGACAACAAATTAAACACAAAAAGGAGTTCTAAAGAAAAGGAAGAGCATTCCAGACGGCCGCAGAAGCGCATCTGAAAGCGCGAGGATGACCGGAGTTTGTGTGATGTTTTAGGCTCATCAGTTCATGATACAACGTCTAAAGCACGCGCAATAATCTGCTATAGAGATAGAGGACGAACAAGTTAAACGAGTGTACTATTTAAATTGGGCAACCTCGCGTCCATTATTGAGGCGCTTGAAGTGCCCTGTTGAAATCTCGCTCGTAGGCTCGCGCCGGTGACCGTGATGCACTTTGAGATGGGCATGGCGCACGGGGACATGGACAAGTACAGCTTCACTCATCAGGGAGCCGCCTACGCCGTGTCAGGCGTTCATCCAGTACCGCACTCATCCGGACCACTTCATCGCCTGGATCCGCTCGCAAAACGGTAACGATCCAAAGGGGTCCTCTTAAGCCATTGACCCAGAATTGGCTTTATTTGGTACCGCACGGAATAGAAACAAACATTTTCCCAGTGATTTTTCTGCAGTATTATTATTTCTAGGGCACAAATGCCTCTGATAGTGGTTTTTGTGGGGGAAATGTTGCTGGAGAAGGGTGCCGTAGCATGCTTGATAGAGAATTTTGTAAAAAAAAAAGTACGCGATGAGAAAAATCCTGAGTTTCAAAAATATTAAAATAAAGCGTGCGCATGAAACATAGTGGATACCGTCCATTGGTGTACATGGCAAATGGTGGTTACTGATAGTATTTTCCGTCCCAGGTGGTGCCTACCAACCATCCCGCTTGGTTCATGGGCTAGGGAGCGTGTCGCCCGCCCGCCCACCCGCTCGCTCGCTCCCCTGCGTGTGCGAGTGTCTGCGTCTGTGACCTCCCCCCCCCACCCCAACGCTCGGAGCGAATTCGAACGGCACTCAACCCGCCACTGCGAACTCGGGGGGAAGCTCGTTCAGTCACCGCCGCGGTATCGTTTTACTCGATACGATATTAATTTTTTCACGATTTGTCGATCATCGCAAATTAGTTTCCGATAACTTTATAATTGCGTCGTTGTTATATTGGTTTTGTCCTTTGCTGTACTTCCAGTTTGAGTGGAGTTCGGTGACTGCAGTTCACTCAACAGAACCCTGCCATAAGTCGTTTAAGCTTAGCAAATTTACAATCTGTAATGTTTTAACACACATTCTGTCAGTTGCACAATACTTAAGTGAGATAGCTGTAAAAATGATGATGATAAATGGAAAACGTTTCGTTTTTAAAACAAATTTGCATTGTTGCTTGATATATATTTAGAAAAGTAATTATTGTGTTTATTAATCCGTACATATTCTGCCAGGGAATGTAATATTTTCCATAAAATAATCAAAGGATAACCATGATATTACGGCATTTTCCAAATCGAGCGATGCGAGGATGATGGATCTCACATCATGTGACGGATTGTAGTATCGTCATATATTATGCCCATCCCGAGTACCTTGAGTCAGAGGCAGGAGTGTAGTGTTACTGAGCACGTGTGATCTAATGCATTCGTGCTGGCAAAACCACAATGTGTGTATGAATGCCTCTGTGTATGCCTCACGGTGTTTAATTTGCACTGTAAGGCCAGGACGTGTGTGTGGCTTGTGGAAATATGCACGGGAATACCTTCTGTGGAGGGTAAGTAAGTAAAACAACACGATGAAATATTGCCTCTGATTGTTAACAGTGGGAGCGTGGCCACATTTGCACATCCATGCATCACTTTAGCAATACAAATTATAGGGAGCGCTCCAGTAAAATTCAACATGACAAATATATGGGCCAAAATACAGTTACAATAGACCGCGGGCTTATTGTCAGTGTAGCCTTTCAGCAGCCTTCAAGCCTCTTAAGGCCTCGGTTTGAAAACAGCAGTCAAAGGGAATTCAAATAAATGCAGCTCATGCCTCGGTTGTACATATTCTGAGAGCAGAATGTTATTGAACCGTTATTTTTTTTCACTGTACTAGCATGTGCGCTTGAGCTGAAATCAGCAAGAAAGCAGTGTTTTTACAAAATGCGTGCATTATTCGGGTACAATATAATTCACTTGCTATTTTCCTCAACTCCAGAAATGTATTTTAGTTGTGACAATGGCATCCTCCGGAGCGTTTAGAAACACAGAATCGTTTAAGTGGCAAGGCCACGTGCGCTGCCTTGTTAGACTGATGGGCAGGTTCGATGCATTGTTTGTTGGGCGGTGGCCCGAAATTGTTTTTCCGATGACGTACGCAACAAAGCGAACAGACAAACGTAGCTGCAGTTAAACATTCCGCGCCATCAGCCCAGTCCCGTTGTCTCCGCAGCCGAAATCTTTGCATACCGCGTAAATTTTACTTGCCGCTGATGGCACGCCGTTGCGTGCCTCCGCTGAAAGCATTTTCCCTTGTGTTATAAGTGAAACCAGAAACCCACCCATAAATCGGCGCACTAACAGATGAAGAGCTTGCACGCCATCATTTGGGCATCAACGTCCAGCCAAAGAGTGGACCAAGTGAATGGAGAGAGAGAGAGAGATTTTTTTAAAGCTTGTGGCTCTTGGATTGACTCTGTCCAGGCATGGTGCTCTTCCAGTTCCTAAGTTTGCACAGTCTCGTTTCATCATCATCATCATCATCGTCATAATTGTCATCTTCAGCTATGGTCAATCCACTGCTGGATAAAGGCATCCCTGCGCCGTTGCAATCTCTCACAGTCTCATTTATGGCCGATTCATCGTAATAGTTTTTTATTTCAAGTGTTGGCGCAGTGGTTTACGCACTGCAACTCTGAACCCGGTGACCTGAGTTTGAATGCCGGCCATGGTTAATATCAGTGGCGAAGTGATATATGAACTGGTCTCCTTTCACCAAACCGTACCGGTCAGTGTTGTGACGTATGGTCAAACAAACCGTTTGACCGGCACAGTTTGATGAGGCCTTCATCCAGCATTGGATTTGCAGACGGCTGCAATTTATTAGTATTGCTGTACAAGAGTGTGCATGTTAACATGTGAGCTGTCTGTAAAAAAATAATAATTGTACAGACAAATTATAGAAGAGATTAGTTTATGTGCTAAATATGTAGACATCAAATCGATAGTAATTATTAGAATTACCCTTATTATTAATCATCATGATATTTATCATGTTCCACGTGTACCGGGGCTGACATTTCCAATAGCGTAAGGGACAGCACAGGCGCATATTGGAGCGTATATATTTGCGCGAACATGGATGTGTTTTATATCAGTCTCTGACCAATGCGACCTCGAAGAATGTCAACTTGCATTTCTTTTCCAACGCGCGAGGGTTAAATTGCAACGATGCGGGGATGCGCGGCTTTTTTGTCGAAGCACTGGAACGAATCGTTCGTAAATGCGATGCATTTTATCGGTATTGAAAATTTACTTGCGGAAGAGGTGTGCGCTTAAGCGAATCATCCCTGCTTTATGGGGGGTCTGCGGGGTTGGGCGATGATCGTTGCGAGTGCCCTGGCTGAGAAGGCACTGTATCAATTAAGTTCGATGCGACAGGAGTGGGGGGACGACACTGCATTATAGCAGCACGCATGATCAGTGTGCTCGAAGCAATCAAAACAGGTCTGCTCCGTCTCACAAATGCCGACCAAACAAGGGCCTTGTCTGGTTTTTTTGGGCTAACTAAGAGTAATGATAGGAAAAGGGAAGCCGGCTTAAGCCTGGGTAATGTCTTTTGCGGAGTGCAGACTGTAGTTTCATTTGCATTTTGTGCTGAAATTGCGCTCGCCAAATTTTTTCCCCACCATTCCTTCAATTCTCCAATCGGCCTCCGTGCGTTCGGTTAGGGTTAGAAACCTTCAAAAGAGATGGGAATCGGATAGCATTTCCATGAAATCTCCTGTAATTGCACTTTGAGTTTTTGTTGGCAGAGAGGCTGAGAGCCATTTTAAGTTTGCCTGGTGTCTGCCTGGATTTAAGTGGCTGTTTGTATAGGCCTAGCTAATAAAATGGACCTCGTGTGGGTGTTGGCATAGAGCTATTTTCTTGAAAGCGAGATACATCATCCGAGATTTGTTTCTGCTTGCTTCCCTTGATTAATGCTTGGTAAATTAAAGAATTAATAACTCTAATTGGATGTTCAGGGGTGGAGGGGTGGGAGGGAGAGGCAGGGGGCGGTGGGTAAAATCTGTAACAGATACATGTGGTTTTTGTAACACAGCTGAATATCTTCTGGCCTTAGTTTCCGAAGCGAGAGTGAGAGGGAGGCGGTGACGCTGGGCAGCCTGCGCTGGACAGCGCGGTCGTGCGTGCACCGCGAACATCAAACGGCGCTAGTGGTGGTGCCGACTGATGTGCAATTTCTTCCTTTTCCTGCACCGGTGTAAAATACAGCAATAGTGAGATGAGAAATGTTTTCAATTCAGGTCAAATGCCTAATTCCATAATATTGCAAATATATACCGCCCCATAAATTGTGTATGCGGTGGAGCGGCGATGCGGCGGTCAGCGCCCCGCGCTATGAATGTGGCGACCCGACCACGGCTAACATCAGTGGCGAGCGACATCTGAACCAGGCTTGGAGCCAATGCCTTCACCATCCCCGCACTGGCCAGCATGATGAAGTATGTTCAAACAACTCAAGGCCAAGTGGCATTGCAAAGCATTCATCCAGCAGTGGATTAACAAAGGGCTGTAAGTTTTCACGGTATGCATGTTTAAAATCCAGCCGGGTGCTGCAGCGATTAGAATGTTCAGTATGGTTTGCGGTCAGAAGGTTGCGATTTAAAATCATAGTCCTACGTCAACTCAACCGTTCATTCTTCTGGGCTCAATAAAATGAGTACCGCTCTGAGGGAAGGTCGCTGTGTTTGTCCTATGAAAACACTCTTCTGCACCATAGGAATGTGAATTATTCACTCCTGGCTCAGGGCTTTAATATGGAGATGAGTGTCACCATATGCTCTTTTAAATAGGAGTGATCAATGAGATTATTAAACATATAATGGAAACACCACAACCATTATGAATAATAAATGAGTCACGTTCATTTGGTCTCATTCATTAGCAGCATGAGAGCTGATTCAAGGGCCGTCCTGGAAAACAAAACATGGCAACCCACAATAGCTCCATAGTCGAGGAATTAAAGTTTTGATTTAAAGCTTTCGTGACTGCAGGGATTCATCTTCTTGGTTCTTTCGGTAAAGTCACGTAGAAGGGAAATAATAAAATAATAAAATAAAACATAATAAAATAATTCTCACGACGTTTCGGCCACAACGCAAGCAGCCGTCCTCAGGTGGAGAACAGGTCTGTCGAGGAGACAGAGTCTGAATGACAAGCCCCAGGCTTGGAGCATCCCAATGGATTGTGCGATGCTGCACCGAGGCAGCCGCACAACCGCTTCTTCCTCTTCTTCTTAGTAAATAGACGCTCCAAGCCTGGGGTGTGTCATTCAGACTCATTTGTTAACGTACAAAACCCTTCGCTCATCCCACCTTGACGCTTTAAAAACCCGACTTGTGTGGTATGGAAACTAAACTATAAACTAAACTATTTTTTCTTATTTTACCAGGTAAGGCCTACTGAGCTATATAGCTCTCTTTCAGAAGCGACCTGGCCACAATTGATAGCTCAACGAAGTGGCTTATCGTGTGGAAATTTATAGCAGCCCAATACCTACGTGACTTTACCGAAAGAACCAAAGAGTATGGATTCGTGCATTCACGAAAGCTTCAAAGCAAGATCAGCCCTATACTCTTAGCGCATGTTCCTAAATGTGGAGGAAAAAACGGGCAGGACCCCGAGCAAAGTCAACGTGACCACGGGGAGAGAGAGAGAGAGACATGCAAACTCAAATATACAACAGGCGCCAGGGTCAGAATCGAACCCACGACCTCCTGCATACCAGGTAAGGGAGTTAACATCTCCTAGCCACCGCGGCGCATTGATCCGGTAAGCTCTACTGGAATCGGTGCCCAGTGTTTTTCTCCACCTGCCACACGTGGGACCACGTTCCCTAAACCCATTGGTGGTGGAGCCAGGGGGGTGGAGCAATGGGGGCATTTGCCCCTCCCCCCACCCATCATTCCCTTGAAACTCCCCCAAAAATTAAATTTTATTGATATTTACCAGAGAAAATTCACTGAATGTGTGTTCCTTTATTATTAATGCAGGCCCCTATTGAACAAGCTTGAAATTTCAGGGTCGCCCGAACCAAGGGGACGTTTTTTTTCTCGCTCTGCCTGGATCTAAGCTCCCAGCTCTCCCTTGTGGTTGGGTGCAGTGCAGTAGTTTTTTGCAGTAATGTTCACCAACGTTATTAAAACAAAAACAGAGCCAGGGATGACAAACACCACTTGAAATATGTTTTGAACTCTGGTATGCGAGTCGTATTTCCGGAGCGTTTATGTGCAGCGTTTATTGCAAGATCTGCAGGGCTGTAAGAAAATACCTCTCTTGGTGTGAAAACGACGTTTCGTACTTTTACTGAGCCGTTATTCTCCACCGCTCTATGTCGAACCGCATTGTATTTGCGAGATATGCATCCTATTTGGGGGGTATTAGAGTCGCTGTAACTTATTAAAGTATCTGTACTGTGCTAGACAGGCACAGTGTCGAAGTGGAAGGCACACGCTCCCCATGAACCCAGATACCCGAGTTCGGTTCCCGACCGTGGGTAACATAAAGTGGTGAGCGATGTCTGATGCTACCCACTCACCAACCCGCACTAACCGGCGTAGTGAAGTATGGTCAAACAAGCCCTGTGACCGACATGGTGGGGAGGCCTTCATCCAGCAGTGAATTGATAAATGGCCGTAAACTGTACATACACGAACACACTACAAGTGCTTAAGTTTTGTTTTTAAAATAAAATACGTTGCATAGAAAAATGTAGATAAGCACTTAATGCTATTTAAAGTGTCTGATGATTGTACAGTACAGCATATGGTTACAGCAGGGATTTAAAAAACTTTTTTTTTAAGTCTGCAACTGATAAGGTGCAAATTGTTTGAGAATTTGTGTTTTTTAGATATCACACTTATATTGGCTGTTTTAAACGTCAAATTGGCATTAATCATGTTGGCTGCCAGACAATACCGCAGCCAGGGATTGTGTTTCAAACCTAAAGACATGAGCTCAGCTGCTCAACCAAAATAAAATGATGTCTTTATTATTGGCACAATGCGAGGACTGCAACTTTCCATCATGTACACGCATAGTCGGTTTCTCTCCCGCGCCCCGCTCACACTCTGTAACGGGCAATCATTTTAATGAAAATCACAGTTCTCTGAAGCAGATGGCGGTTCAGTTCACATTTCAATTTTACTGTGTTTTTGGGGCCCTTTTTACGTTATCATTTTTTAAATCAAGTGTTACGTTAGCATCAGTTGTTAAGAGCGATGGGCGCAGTGGTTCTCACACTGCACTTTGAAGCCGGTGATCGGAGTTCGATTCTTGGCCACGGCTAGCATCAGAGGCGAGTGATATCAGAACCGGTACTGAAATTCCGTAAGAACTCCCAATGACCGACACGGCCAGCAGTGAATCTTCATATTTTCATCATGGGAAATGACACATCCACAAAGAGCGTTGGTTATTATCTCTCAAAGCATGAACATTTTAAAAATAACGTTTGATGTTTTCTTAATTTCTAATCCTACCGGCATATTAAAAAAATGGAAGCGTAATTTTTTTTTAAATTTACAGCCACATGCCATCGCTGAGTTTGGCGTCTGCAAAATTGCAGAAAGAATTAGATGGTGTCCTATACGTCTTATCCACTTGCGGTTGTGTTTTTACTTGATTTTATATTGTCTACAACTACAACAACAAATGTGAGGAAAGCGGAGAACCAGGGCACACGACGTCCAGGCATCGGGCGCATAACAAAGCCTAGCAATAATCACCCCTCGCTACGATCCAGGAGACAAACAGACAAGGGCAAGGGAGAGGAAGGGAAGAACAGGATGTGAGAGAGAGAACAGGGAGAGGGAAGGGGAAGATCTGTGGCCGTCTTCTTGGTTCTTTCGGTAAAGTCACGTCGAATGGAAATAATAAAATAAATAAAAAATAATAAAAAATAACTATAATATTATTATTATGTTTTTTTATTATATTATTTTATTAGGTTTTATTTTTATTATTTTATTATTTCCATTCTACGTGACTTTACCGAAAGAACCAAGAAGATGAATCCCTGCAGTCACGAAAGCTTTAAATCGAAATCTGTGGCCGTGTTCGTGGAGTGCGCCGTGTCCGGCTCCCGACACCGGCCGCTTTTCAGACTGACAAGGCAACGTAAATTTTTCACTTGTCTGCCCCGTGGCTTGATCTCCAGGTCCCTTCGCATGCTGGCAGGGGTACCCGGCCACGGCACATTAGCCCCCGGAGACACCCCGGCACCCGCAGCTATGGCAGCTTTAATACTTTGTTTTGATAGGTGGGCCTTTGAAAGGGTTTAAATCAATTGTCAGTGGCATTTATTAATTAACAAAGCGACTTGCTTCAACGGTGATTTATATGACATTCATCATCATGTTCGCCTTTCACTAGTTGTTCTGAAGCGAGCTTGTGTGTTTGTAAAAAAAAAATGCACTTTGCGCGTGTTTACATTGTGTGGGTTGAATATGGGAGCGCAACATTTGCTGCATAAGCGAAATAAAAGTTAACAAATGTGTTTCTGACAATGGGACGCAACGCAGAATCGAGCAGTGTGTCGGCTGTGCTCGCTGGCAGGTACGTGGCTGGAGTGCGACGATCTGAACGGGCCTTTCTGCGTGGAGAGAAAGGAGGTGAGCGTCCCTCCGGAGCAACTTCACGTTGTCTTCTGGGAGAAGGTGGCTTCCGCGGACGCGGAGGGAGGACGGACATCCGGTGCGGAGCCTGGAGACTTCCGGCAAGACCACGGAGAGCTTGGCAGCCAAGCAGTGGCAGCGGATGCGAGAGCAGACCGTTCATGTGATGTGGAGGATCTGGACATTCCCGATAGTCGCAGGGAGGCCGAACGTTGCGACTTTCTCCGGGATGACGGGCGTCACGACGAACGGAGGGTGCACTTCGCTGACTGCCCTGCGGCAATGTCCGAGTCGTGTGCAGTGCGAGCAGCAGGCCTCTGCAAGGTGCCCGGCACACGGCCAGACTGGCAGGGGCATAACGAAAGTGAAGGTGTGCACAGCGTAAGGGGGTCCTGCGTGCCACGGGACACAAATGAACAGATATACGTCGATCAGACGGTCGGTATAAATTCCAACAAAGCTACCCACGGTACCTCGATTGACAAACAAAGATTTGCAGTCAGTGTTGAAAGCGGGACGGCCGAATCGGAATGCAACGACGACGCGAAAGCGACGAACGATGCCGTTAAAAATACAACCGACGAAGCGGCAGGAAAGTGCGCTGACAAAACGTCACCGCAACGGCGGCACGCTGCCAACGTGGCGATCGTCGCCGCACCGGCACCGCGCTCTCTTGCGGCAGAGGACTGCGGCAAGTTTCACGGCTGCCAGCCGAGAAGAGATTGCTCGCCGGCGCCGATCGCGGACGCTCGCCCAGAGATGCCGAGCGAGCAAGGAGCACCCGGCGAGCGCGTTGGAGTGGCGGAGCGGAGGCCAGCGGGCGACGTCTGCGGGGGGCGAGGCGAGGACGAGCGGGAGGCGTGCTGGGAGCTGCACTCGCTGCTCAAGAGGCTCGGCAAGCGGAGAAGGCGGCTCGCCTCGGTGGACAAATTCATCACCCGACGTAAAGCGGCGCTCGCAGTTTGTACCGCTCGCTCTTCTGAGCACCTTCACAATTCAGTCGCGTTCATTAAGCGCCCTGAGATGTCGTAGCTTGCAAGGGTATATTGCCTTTATAGAAGTAGCTTATAGCGTGTCACATGTGACATGTGAACGTTCAATACATGCAAATCATTGTCCTCAAACGTTTAATATTTGCGAAATATTTTTTGAATTCAAAAAGAAAGTATTGTTCATTCAGAAACGTAATTTTCCATTCAAAACTTTGTTAATTGTGGTGTGCATATTGAGCATTTCATTAGACGGGTATAATTTTACGGATGTATATTTTCTCCCAACAACAACAGTGGTTGATTTTGTGTACCGCGTGCTAAAACGTGCACACGCCACGCTCTCAGGCCTGCTGCTGGAGGAGGACGGAGGCTGTCGAGGAGCTCGCTGTGAAGGGACGGGGCCCGAGTCCTCACCTCCCCAGCAGACTTCCACGGTCCGCAAGGAGCAGGCGCTGAGCGAGGGACCTGAAAACGTTCAGACGAAACGCCAAGGACGTCTTGCCAGCAGGGGAGCTTTGACAGAACCACCGCGGCCCAGAGAGGAACGGCATCCGTCCGACGTGGAACATTCACCTGCGAGTGACCCGAGCGAAAAATGTGAGAGTCCTCACCGGTTTTATATGGGACACGTGTCTGCGGAAGGCTGTGATGGAAATGTGGACAGGCATCACGCGTGCGATATAAATAATGTGTCGACTGAGGCTTCTGATGAGCATCTTGAAGGGCATTACCTGACTCCTGTTTATGATGCCTCTGTGGACCTGCTTAAGGAAAATTTGGAAGAAAGTCCTGCATTAGATATGATGGATTCATCTACACAGGATCTTGATGAAACATTTGGTGGAACTCACCAGATTTTAAGAGAAGACGTTCCTGGTAGAGGTGCCGATACATGTTTATCAGAAGACCACCCGGCTATTGCAGGACACGATTATGAAAATTGTTCTGATGGAAATCTGGAGGACCAGCATGCCTTCAATGTGACGCAAGCATCTACAGAAGGTCACCATGAACATTTACAGGAATATCTCCTGACTCTCGTAGAATACTTGCCTGTGGACGATCCCAACAGAAACCTTGAAGGGTTCTATACGTGCGATATCACTCGCCCATCCGCAGAAGGTAATCAGGAGATGCTGCAAGGACAGCACGCGACTGCTAACGAACGTGTATCTGCAGAGAATCTTGATCAGAATAGTGAAGCCATATTTTCGCACAATGTCTTAAGTTTAGAAACTCAAGATTATCAAAATACCAGTTTGGTACTGGACACTGCAATACATCCCATTGACAAAATATTGCAACGGGCACCAAACGAATCGCAAGTCGTCCCTGAGGAGGTGGGAACGAGGCCTGACGAATGGAATCAGAACCGGGCGTTAAAGCCAGCTGTGTGGACGACTACCGACGACGACGACGACGACGACAGAGGTGCGAGCGAACCTCCGCAGAGCGATTCGGAGCACGCGTCAACTAGCGAGGGTGCATCGGGCGGTCAAAGCACGCTTGGCAAAAAGTCAAGCGAAGGCGATAAAAACCCTGGCAGAGGAGCGGACGTCGGTGCCGGTGGACGCGTGCCAAAAACGAAAGCCACGTCGGCCTCTCGCGGGTGGGGCAGGACGGAGCGAGCGTGCGCGCCGTCAACGCGCCGCAGAGCCGCCGCTTTCAGAGAGAACGCGCTGAGGCTGCAGCTCCTCGCGGGCGAGGACTCGGCCAGGTTCGGTGGCTACCGGCCGAGAGAGAAGGAGGGCGCTCCCGTGCTGCCCAAGAGGTCGACGATCGCTGCTGCGGGAACCACGGCGGTGGCGGCGGCGGCGGCGGCGCCGTTAGGCAGTGGAGAAGAAGTTGTGCTCGCGCCAGCTTTGGCAGGGGAGCCTGGCGAGCGAGTTCGGTGTTTGGCCGTCGGGCCGGAGGAAAGAAGTTTGAATTTGGCGCAACCGAGGGGGGATAGCGGCGAGTTAAAAGCGCTGCTGAAGAGGCTGGAGAGAAGGAAACAACAGCTTGCGATGGTGGAGGGTGCTCATCGTAAATGATCACGTCCAGGACTTAATTTCTTACTCAGTATTTCACAGGTCACCAGGACACTGGAGTTAGGCACCTGACCAGTAGCCACAGTCATTGCCAGAGGTATACTGGATGCGGTGTGCTGGGGCGTGGAAGTAATTACCGGGTCGCTGAGCCGGAAAGGCCCGACTGAAAATAAGGCTTGATAATGTCATTCTAGATTTGAAGTTGTCGTGACTGCAAGGGTCCATACTCTTTGGATAATGTCATATTTGTAGTGTTCTATTGTCCGCGATACAGTTTGTTTCAGCGAGAATGCCACTTGCTGGATTTTAGAAAGTTCTTAGAATAGTTTCGTTTAACTCTTAAAACATTTCATGTTAACGTTTCATGTTGACGTTAATTTATTCTGAAATAAATATGTCGCATAAAATATATTTATATGTTGAAAAATAAATGTTGTGCGGATTATTTTTGAGTCATGCCAATAGTAAAAAGAACGTATTTTGTAGAGAAGGGATTTATGATGCAGTATTTTGTAAAAAAAAATATATATATACCTGGCACATACACTTTGAGAATCTTAACGTATGATTTGTAAAGTATTTGTCTCTGTACATAACATGTGAATAAAGTTGCAGTATTATGAAACATGTTCCTGTATGGTAATTATTACCGTGGTTGTTACTTAATGTAGAAATATGGATAGATTCTAAAGCAGCTCGCAGGTTTCGATCATCCCAAAAGTTTATGAAAATAAAAATAATAAACACGAGTAATAATTTACAGGCCTTGGTAACTGCACTGCTGGATGAAGGCCTCACCATTTACTCAGTAATTTCAGTTGTTTGACCATACTTCTTGGTTCTTTCGGTCAAGTCACGTAGAAGGGAAGTAATAAAATAATAAAAATAAAACATAATAAAATAATTCTCACGACGTTTCGGCCACATCCAAGAAGATGAATCCCTGCAGTCACGAAAGCTTTAAATCGAAAAATTGTTTGACCATACTTCACCAATTTGTTGATTAGGGAATGGTGAAGATGGTGCCCGGGACTGGTTTAATTTATCACTCCACTGACCTTCGCCATGGCTGGGAATCGAAACCAGGTTCATAGCACAGCACACGAAACCAATGTGCCATCATTTCACTCGATTCATAATGTTAATAAAATGTGTTAATTTTTTGTAAAAAAATATTTGATAGTCTTACACATATTGTCCGTACAGATAATCATGGCCAATGTTATTAGTCAACTGATAACATTAAATCATTTTACTTAGTTAACCACGCTTAGCAAAATACAATAGCTCTGATACTTGAATTTAATTACGTAATGTTTCAGCTCTAAAGTAAGATAGCTTATTAAAACGTCAGTGAAATTGTTCACACGTTTACTTAAAAGAGTGGAAATAACACACGGTGTTTCTATATAGTCTAAGAGTCTATCTGTGAGTGCAGGTAAAGCATTTAGGGCATGATACGCGTGGCAAAGTGCCATGCATTTGTTTTGATTGTTGGAGAAAATGTGCCTAAATCTTCACTACCAACATCACCGGGGCAACATCACCGAAGGCGAAGTGACATAATAATCTGGCCCACGTTGCACGAATTTATACCTAGAAATGTATTGCACAGATATATAAAAAAATGCAAATTACATTCACAAGTTAATTGTGGACTGTCACAAGTCACGTTATCACATCTATTTAAGGAAACGGGGATTTCTCCATAAAGCTGGCTGTCGCCTGATGAAGCTAGTTGTAATTACTGGCGAAACGTCGTGCTCGGATTGAAAATGTGGATTTGCTCTCCAACACACCGGTGTGCTGTACTAGTAGCGAATTGGCCACGTTCTGTTCACGTGACAAACCTGACTAGTTGGCTGTGTTGGGTGGTGGCGGGTTTAACGACATTTTCGTGATCTAACCCAAAAACACCTATATTATAATTGTGGAATGTTATAATACATTTAGAGTATTTGTTTCACATGCAGTCAAAGTGTCAGATTTGGAAAATTCCATCATTTGTTGTCACGAGTGAAGGCCCTCCACAGCCTTGAGTTAATTAACACATCATCATCGTGATTGTCATTCATTATTTATATAGCGTCTCCCATGGAGTACGTCTCGAGGCGCCAGAGGATAAACAAAAACTCCCCCAATCGTTTGAGACAACTCGTTTTGTGACGAAGTGACTGCAGCTCAAATGTGGCTTCCAAAAAGATTACACGAAGGTATTAGCCACACACACACACGCGCGCACGCATATGCATATATATATATAACAAACGAGAATAAACAACATCGACAAATCTTCAAACTGTGCTTGAGACCACCACTCCAACGGGTCTTCTCCACTTCAACACATGCACGAAACCGATCGACGGAGCGAGTAGCCCAACACATTTCTCCCCTGATTGTGACCGGCCGTGCCTAATGCGCCGCTCGGTCCTGCGAGCATGTAGCGGGCATCGATCATTTTGCGAGGCGCGGCACCGTAGCGACGCGCGGGCGGCGTTTGTAGCTCGGCGTCCGGGTGCCCTCGGGTATCAATGTTACCTTTTTTTCTCTCTCTGATCGACACATCCACCGCCGCCGCCGCCGGATAAAATGCGCGTCATCCGTCACTCGGATTCGTAGTGCTCCTCCTTTGAAATGGCAGCTGCCCTTTAATAGAGATGCATCAATGTCACTCGGATGTCATTCAATATTGCTCGACATCGACACGCTATTAACCCGTTGTTTTATTTCACAGGCTCGTCGGATGTGGAATTGATGTGAATCCCATTGCCGACTCACGTTCGGGGTTTATTTTGTTTTATGTTGTCCAGCCAGCTTCTGCGCCTTACGCGTTGATGGCTTTAATTTCCATGTAACCCGAGTGAAAGAAAAAGGTGTATTTTGAAATCGCCAAGCTTGTAGTTTCAACAGAAGGCTCGATTCTAAAAAGAAATCACGCAGTGCATGCGCATGTACATCTCCCGTGGCAATCCACTGCTGGATTAGGACTTCTGCATGCCACGGGGGTCGTGGTGGTTATTTGACTATACTTCACCTCGCCGGCTAGTGGGCATTGGTGATGGGCTTCTCGAGTATTTCGTAAGCGGTGGTTAAAAGTGAGTTTACGTGTTCGAAATTAAGTATCACGTCAACCCACGCCAATTCAGTTTTCCACGTATCTCCAGATATTCTTGCACGGTTACATTTTAAGCTGAATATAAAGGTAAGAGGGTAAAGCGACGGTTTAATATTTAACCCGTAGCTAAAATGTTGTGACGGCCTCATAAAAAAAAAATACAATGTCATTTCGAATCATACAGCGTCTTTAGGCAGCTGTGCCTCGAGACGATGGGCATTAGCAGGACCTACCGTCACAGGAACTAAGAAACACGCTGCAGATATCTGATTTATGCACGAGTCGCCTTCAGTCTTGAAACAACAACCGATAATTGCTACAATTGTAATCATCACGTCTGTTCAATCTCAATCGCTAATTGCCTAGTGACTGTGCAATATTGCTTTCCACCCTACGCTTTTGTACTGCAGCGTTTACGTTGAGCGATTGCATGTACTGCACGTATGTTGAACTTCTTTCGCACCGTACGTAGCCAACCGTGCAAATCGGAGGTGCGGGGGAAGGACAACAAACTAACACAAAAAAGAAGTTCTAAATAATTTTTTTTCAATCTCGAGTTAAAAGTGCATAGCTGCAAGTGGCTTTCCTTAACATTGGAAGGAGGAGCGTTGCAGACAGCCGAAGACGCGCATCTGAAAGCGCGCGATGCGACGACCGTCATCTTTGTAACATTGTAACGTCATCATTGCAAGTGTCCGTTGTGCAGTGGCATAAAGCGACGGCTTGCCACCCCACACACACATGTTAGAGTTTAATTTTTATTAGCTGCGCAGAGTGGTAAATTTTGTTATTTTATTTGCCGCAACACGTGTTGAAGTTTTGTTTTACTGACCCCTTTTTTACGGCAGCGTCTTCTTTTTTTTCATTCCAATTATTATTTATGCGTTTATTCAAGGGTAGCGAGTTTGATTCTGCTATAATTGAGTAATTTCGATGCTTTATAGTGCTCGTGTTGTATAAATCATCGGGGCATCTTTAACTTTTGAACGATAGTGCAGAAAAAGGGCAAGGCTGTTTGACACAAGCAAGATGTCTTACTGCTCTCAAACGGTATTTCGCGGGTGCCCCGGTGAAAGAGTTTGAGAAATAGTTTTCCTAAACATCAGGGGGATGCTCTAATCGTGCGCGCATGTGTGTAAGTTCACGGCTAAAAAATCTAAATTCAGTGACGGCAACAGAAAATAATTGCTCGCCAGTAAGTCTCCGCTAACAGCCACATGCCGACACGAGGGTTGAAAGCTCGTGAAGCAATCTGACACGTCTTCATATAAAATATTTGGCGACGCGACGTCTTATAGTTCTGGGATTGCACGCTAATTTGATTACGACTGTAACTGCCTTGCATCTCCAATGTGCCAGTAAGTTTCGTGCGTTGTGTACGTTCCTACATCGCCTGTGTGTTAATTTGGGTTAATGTAGCAGTGCATTCCTACAGATGATCAAATTAAGCGATGTGTGCTCCCAGAACGGGTGGAGCGCATTTAGCCATGAACTCACTCTACCTAACTTGGATTTCCCGGTCACGGCTAGCACCTCCGATTATCACGTTTGGCTACGTAGAGTGCGAAAGAAGTTCAACATACATACAATACAATACATAGAGATACAATACCTACAATACATACACAATACATACGTACAATCTTAACAAGTCCTGGACAAATTTCGATTTCCGACAGACCTGTTCTTCACCTGAGGACGGCTGCTTGCGTTGTGGCCGAAACGTCGTGAGAATTATTTAATTATATTTTATTTTTATTATTTTATTCTTTCCCTTCTACGTGACTTTACCGAATGAACCAAGAAGATGAAGTCCTGGACAATCCCCCTCAACCTTCGCCATACCGCACTGATCAGCCTGGTAAAACACGGTCACACAACCCGCGTGATTGACTTGGCAAGCAAAGGCCTTCACCCAGCAGTGGATTGATCAAGGGCTGTACGTGTGTATCACCCCCCCCCCCAACACACACACCATTTAAGTCTGTACGCATACAGGCAATGCTCGGCTGCCGAATCTGCGTTAAGTTACGCCGCTTTCAAAACTACCCGTGCCAGGGGCGTAATATTTCTGGTTCAAAGGAGGGCGAAAGAGAATGCATGAAGAATGAACTACACCTATCATGATCGCCATTATCCCCTGGGTCAAACGAAAACGTTAAGGCGTTTTTTTTCCTAATGAATCAGTTATTCCGTACGATCATGGGAAGTATTCATTTCCACCTTTGATGTACAGGGGTTGGAATTTATGGCATCTTTTTGTTAGTGCCGTTTTTTTTTACAAGATATAATGAGGGTTGATGACAGTGCGTAGCTATTGAAATTGCAACTACAGTTTTCGGACTTGCATGTCTGTTTTTTTTCCCCCCGTCCTATTTATGGGGAAAAACACTGCACAATTAAAAATTAACATTTCCTTTGCCAATCCACTGCCGGATGAAAGCCACCGCACACCCTGTCAACC